TTTGCGAGGGGAGTGTGGACTGCAGACGATCTGGGTGATACAAAATAACAAAACCTCGACGTACCCACCTGTCTTTGTAAAGGCAACTCCCAATCAGACGTAGGTGAAAGACTTCGGTAGGGAGTTGACCGTCACACTGTCAAACGTCATGCAATGTAAGTGAGTAGAGAGTCAAACGATGAAGCAAGACAAGGGGGCATTGCAACCGAAATCATTCCTCCACAATCAAGAAAAGGACGCCATCAGAGTGATTCAGCCCGTCCCTTTGCATTAACAAGGTTGTGGTGCCGAACGGACGATGTCAACGCTAACCACATCCTCTCTTGCGAGCGGTGGGTCTGCTCATCTCTTTGCACCTGCAATTTCTCGTCATGGGCGATTTTGATTGTGGAAGAATCGAAAAGACCAAAATGGAAAGAGGGTCTTTTTATCTGTTCCGCTCTTGGTCCGTGCGCACGCTGCTTCTTTCGACCAAATTAATCTCATGTTCTGTCCTCATTCCTTCAAACGAACTCTTCAATCAAATAAAGATCCACACAAGAAGGCTCCTCACGTCTTGCAGGAGAAATAAAACTTGCCTGCCGATCCTGTAGCATTTTTGTATCGATCGGCTGTAATTATGGACAATTCAGCCTTGGAATGGTAAAATGTGGAAGAACACCGTGCCGATCCACTCAGTGCGGCGGCGATGGTTGAATATATCAAATGATCGTATCACCATGCGCGAACTCATTCGTGGTCTTAAATTAATAGCAGAATTTATATACAGGCCATATTGCGTGACGAGGTAACCATGTGACTGCCATCCGGCGAGAGAGTCGATATCTGCAGTCCCAACTGTGTCGGCCGAGTGGCTTTTTAAAACGACGCGGGTTTACTGCACACTACGTATTGTTATTGAACCTGACGCCGCGCGCGTTCGGTCCGGTAAGAACGTAGCAGAAAATACACTGGTGCTGCCACTGAATGGGCCTGAAATAAAATAGATCCATGCGGTACCGTCGTCTGTTGTTACATTGCGATATTTTTTGGAGCAGACTCCAGAGTCCACTAGCGGTTGCCTACAGAGAGTCACGTCACGTGGTGTGACACTGCGATAATTAATTGCTCTTTGCCTCCAACCGCGATGTCTGTGACGCCCCGGCGTTCGAACCGTCTTCGTCGCAATCCCCTGGTCGTCCGCAACCCACATAAAAAGTCCACGTCAGAAGCTTACACATGGACATCTGACCCCGTCTATTCGCGCCCAAGCATTCGAGATGACTTCCTTGACGACGAATGGGACCAAGCCCGGGGTGATGATGACGACGAGCACGCCGATGGACGGAGCACGATGACAGATTTCTACGATGGGTTCAGTGTTAGCGGGAAGAAGACTATAGGAAGGTTTGCGAGGTTCACCAGAGGCGCAAAGAAAGGCAGGCCGAAGAACAAAGGGAAAGGGAAAGAAGAGGAGAGGTATAAAATCGGTGATACTGTCCTGGTTACTTCTGTCAACAGGCTACCGAGTGTTGGAGTCATCGTGGGGATGTGGGAAAATCGTTGGGAAAACGAGGATGGGGAGGAAACACAGAAGATGAGAGTGAAGATACATTGGTTCTTACGACCCACTGAACTGGCTGGGATACGCGCGAAACGCGAACATACCATAGTACGCATCCGTAACCCTTGAAATAATTTTACTATTGAGCTAATCACCATTTTTTATTGCGTAGAATGAGATATATTATTCTCTAAACCAAATCGAGATCGTTTACCCAAACAACATACTAGCGCACTGCATCGTCTCGAGCGTCCCACCTGCAGACGCCGATGCAGCCATCGATGCTAAGGGCACTGGTTCATCACCCTCAAAGCGTTCCCTTTGGGTGTATGACGACGAGCTCCAGGACGATGACGGAACGGAGAAATATTACTGCCACTCAGCGGTTAACTCCCAGCGAGGCCTTTTCTATGAATTTGAATGGGAAGAGCATCGGGAGGCTGCTTTGGGCGGGGATGGGGAGGTCGAGGGAGATGTTTGGGATGTGCTTGTTGACAATGATATGGAAAGGCGCTGGAAAGGGAAGGAAAAGCAGGCGAATATCAAGGCGAAAGGTCCTACGCGTCCGAAGAAGAAAATAAAGAAAGAGGATAACGAGGGGGATCAAAGTGAACCTGAGGAGTTTACGGAGAGCGAAGATGAATATGCAAGCCAATCGAGTGATGAAGAGGATGATGAAGCCGGCCCATCTGATTCAGATTCACCAGCCGACGAGGACTCTGATGTATCTGAAGACGCAGAACCTAGGACGCCATCCAAGAAGCGCAAACGACCCACCGTTGCCCGCACCTACTCCAAATCCCCATCCAAATCCACCCGTACCCCATCAAAACGTACCCTTACAACCACACCGCGCAAACCCACCAAACGGCGCCAACCCGTAGCGCCAACACCACAGTCCCGTAAATCCATCGCGACGCGCAAGCAGAAACAGAAACAAAAACCCCTCCGCGTCCGTCCGCCTCCCCCACTAACCTCGCATCTTCAGCTTAAAAATATGCCCACGGACCCCTGGCTTCGTGCGATGCATGTTCTGCATGTTGGTGCGAGGCCGGATGTGTTGCCATGCAGGGAAGAGGAGTATGCGAGATGTTTGAGGGCTGTGGAGGAACTTGTCGAAGAAGGGAGTGGGGGATGCGTCTGTAAGTTTTAATCTCTATTCATTTTTTCGTACCGCAATTTTGTTCATTATTGACTTTGTCTCAAGATATATCGGGGGTACCTGGGACGGGAAAGACGGCCACTGTCCACGCAATAGTCCGTGAGCTGAAACGGATGGCAGAGGAAACTGTACGTCGCATCCATCTTTCATCCCCAAAACCCATCTTATGCTAAGTTCTTTTCAACTTGCAGGAGACCAACCCGTTTACATACGTCGAGATAAACGGGCTTAAAATACCGGACCCGACGGCTGCGTACAGTCTCCTCTGGGAAGCTGTCTCGGGCCACGACGTGGCGAACGAGGGACATATGAAAATTAGCGCGAAGGAGAGCTTGAAGTGTCTTAGTAGGCATTTCAGTGCGGGAGGTGCTGGTGCTGGACCAGGCGGAAGGGGGAGAGGCGGGCCACGCGGGAGAGGTGGACCGGGTGGACACGCTTGGTAGACGTCCTAATTTCAATCATTGTTAGAAAATAATTGCTGATCATGACCTGATCATTTTTTTTCAGTGTGGTGCTCATGGATGAACTCGACCAGTTAGTGACGACCAAACAGGACGTCGTGTACAATTTCTTTAATTGGCCTACATTGGTCGGTTCCAAACTCATCGTATTGGCTGTGGCGAATACGATGGACCTCCCCGAGCGAGTGATGAGTGGCCGAGTGAGGAGTCGTTTGGGTAAGCTAATTTTTACCCCATGCTTCTGGTTGCATATTTATGTTTCATTTTTGTTTAACAGGCATGATTCGAATAAACTTTCAGCCATATACGACGCCCCAACTGGAAAGGATTGTCCAAACGCGACTGCAGAGCGCGAAAGATGGCCTGGAGGGCAAAGATAAGGAACAAGTTGTCATTGCATCAGACGGGATCAAGTTTGCGGCTATGAAGGTGTCGAGTATCAGCGGTGACGCGAGAAGAGTATTGGATATTTGCAGGTTCGTTGACCTTGGTTCTTTCTCTGTCCTGACGTTCATCTCCGATCACAGACGCACGGTCGAGCTCGTTCAGCCGCTGAAACGAACAGCTAAGACTGACGATGTCAAAGAAGTCATCAAGGTAATGCAGAATAGTCCCACGGCGGCGTACTTGCGTGACTGCAGTTTGCATGAGCGGATGATGTTGGCTGCGCTGCTGAAAGTTATTAAGCGAGAGGGCGTCGAGGAAGTTCGCTGGGGAGATGTCAGTAACCAGCTTTTGCATCATTTATGGAAACATCATTCGACTGATCATTCGTCGACCATAGGTCCAGCACCAACATCTGATATACATGAATGTCCTCACTGGCGCTGACGACCCTATGCGGAAACCTACTTCTGGCGAATTAAATATGGTTCTCGAATCACTTGCCGCCTCTCGGGCAATGTTGATTGAGGACGGGCTCGCTGCTTCCCGGAAGGCGGAGGGCGATCGGAAGGTCATTTTAAATTTGGAGCAAGGGGAAGTAGAGAGGATCTTGAGCGGTTTTGGCTCACGATGGAAGAATGCACTAAGTGGCTGACGGATACCGTATAGGTGAATGTATCGGGAGCGTTAGTGTTTAGTTATGTGCAGTCATCGTGGCAGGTGTTCAACTTGAATACTGCACAATAGACGGCAATCGGCAAAGATTCGACAGAATTACAAACATACCAGGTGCGGTTCAGGGTCATTGAGCGGGAAGAAAATAGGTTAGGTTTAATCATTCTGTCATTTGGACAGCCAGGCCCCATGCTTGACATCTCGACGCGGCCACGGTGTAATACTGAAGTATGGCTGCACAGGAAGATTAAATTAAAAAGAGGCACAAAAGAAAAACTAAAATATTGACCAGAGTGGGATTCGAACCCACGAGAGTTTCCTCACGGCAAACCTGTCATGCAGGTAAGCTTGCGCTTGAGTGCCGCGCCTTAGACCGCTCGGCCATCTGGCCTCCCGTTCGGTGGGACATGTCGTTACAACATGACCAAGGCAGATAAAACTTAATAAAAGGGGACAAAAGTGGCCGAGAAGAGTAACAGTACTTAATACCTTTGACCAGCCGCCACTTAGGAAGCGGGAAGAGAAACAAAGCATGGCACTCTTCCTCGGCTCTGCTATTGCATCAACACCCTACAATGTCGCATTACAGACCAAATATGAAGTTACGGTAGGCGGTAGTAATTAACATTGTTCGGGTTTGACGGTTCCTCGAGCGCTCGATCTGAGCGCAAATGACCACAAAACAGGCGGATTCGGCTTTCTTACATCTGATCGAAGTGAACAGAAGAGTTCCTCCTAGACGCCCAATTTATTCTGGCGCTTAATTTAGACAGCGTGAGGTTAGTGAAATTCGGAACTCTCCCGTCACTTGTGCATCTAACTTGGACAAGGGGGAAAAATCGAGTTGCTGCTGCTTAGGATCCATGACATACTTTTGTTAAGTATGAAGAGGCCGTGACATTGTCGGGGAAATTTTTTTCCTCAGCGACTTTACATTGAGGAGATTAATGTATTGCGTTCCTGGATCTCCGGCCATATGTCCTCCTTATTTCCACCTTCAATCACTAGTTTCGGCCATTGAAAACTAGGCACTTCGACAATTACAAATGCACTCATCTGCTCTATGATTTTACGAGAAAGTCCTATATTCAAATTGTAAGGTTTTCTCGCTCGCACTGGAGTCAGGGGTGGATTGATAAATTCCAAAAGAAGACATAGGCTCGCCGATTTGAACTTAGTGGCGAATATTGAGCGGGGCTTGGCGCTGCTCAATCTCCACTTATCTTGCAGATGTCAATTCGTTCCTGGCTCTACGTGGGCGCCGATTGTCGATACCGACATTCGACTGTATGCTAGTTGTGGCCTTCGCGGGTACCGTCAGACGTCAGCTTCAATTCCTCCTTTGGTTTCGTCATTAATTCCCTAGCGATCTGCCAGATAGTTTTATTATCACCTAGGGAAAGTCTCGATTCAGGATCAGTCGTATCAGGGCCGTTACGTTTGTGGAACGCCCGGTGCTGTCAATCCGGAGGCATTTCTTCCAATTCATATAAACGTCGATGCAATGCAAATTTTCCTGAGTTCCCATCTGTTCCGTTCGTCCACCTTTTGGTTGTCTTACACACCACAGTCCTTTTACCACACTCTTTTCCTCCAGGCTTCATGATGTCTCAAAACTACGGTGCACCAGCCCCGGCTTTCTTGCAGATGGTCGAACTTGACAACGGAAAGGCTAGTCAAGAACATCTCGTTAAACCAGCTTATTACAACCGACCAAGGGCCAAATCGACCCCCATCGCAAACCCTGGTGCTCTGTATGTATCTCTTTATCGACCGCTCTCGCGATGACTTGTTCACAGAACTTTAGGGGGCTCTTTTCTTTTGCTTCTACAACTCTTATTCTTTCGCTTTTCAACGTCGGAGCCGGAGGCGTTGCAACTCCCAACGTTGTCGTCGGCATGGCTATCTTTACTGGTGGTCTCGTTCAACTTCTCGCCGGAATGTGGGAGTTCCCACGCGGTAATGTCTTCGGTGCCACTGGTGAGCGACCTTTATCTGAATCTACTTGCCCTGCTTCGTCGCAAGGCTTCTTCGTCATGCGAAATATCCGGATATTTGTGATCTGACCCTTGCTATACCAGCCTTTTCTTCGTATGGCGCTTTTTGGATGTCTTACGCGACAATTCTGCTTCCCGGAAGCGGTATCATCGACTCCTACGCCAATGCACCGCCCACAGAACTCAGCAATGCACTTGGTATCTATTTGACCGCGTGGGGCATATTCACATTTTTCATGCTGTGAGTGTACAGCAGCTCAATTTAGCTTTGTATTTATTCAAGTGTGCACTCCCAGGATTGGCACTTTGCGAAAGAATGTTACTTTCATCTTTCTTTTTGCATCCTTAACTGCGACATTCGTGGTTCTTGCGATTGGGGAGTTTACGCTCAAGGTGTGTAGTCTGTTCAGATGCTCAATTCTGCCACTGTGATATGATCTAGTATCCAATGCTTATCCATATACTTCTAGACAAGCATCGCAAAGGCAGGCGGTGCTCTCGGTATCATCACGGCCATCATTGCCTATTACTGTGCAATGAGCGAGCTGTTGATCAAAGAGGAAAGCATTTTCTCTTTGCCATTGGGCAAAATCGTCTAGCTGAACATATATGTACAACCATCAATCGCGAAGCGAGATCCGACAACTATAGTATACCCCCTTGGTGTTTGATAGTTGTATGTTGTGTGTTATAACATAATTTATATGGCGGCTCTGAATTACAACCTGTGTCTCAGTCGGCAAACCCTGCTAGATCCTTTTCGCCTTCCTTGGTGTCTTCTCGCCTTCAAAATGATCCGCAGCCGCCTCGTGCAACGAAATGATTGCCTTACGTAGACTTAAACAAGGAAAGGTACGTATGAACGGAATTGGCTTAATACTCGACGAATTGCTAGCAATAAAACACAGACCTGGTTTGTTCATTGTAATAATCTTGGACTTCTCGGCGTCGCTGTTTATGGTCTCTTTTGTGAACAAAATTTAAAGCTATGCATGTTGTTATCGTAGCTACAATAGGATGGTCAAATTTGAGCGTAAATTTCCGATCGCCAAACCCACCTGCCACGATACATAGAACCAATATGACATACTGCCATGGAGCGACGTTGAGGGGTGTCTCCGGTTGATCAATGCAGTACCCATTCTCGCCACAATTGTGCTGTGTCCAACACAGTCAGCAGATCACTTCTGAACTTAAGCTGATGCGAATTACTGTCTTGCACTCCCCATCAGTCTGACATGTACCCCCAGTTACCTTCGTATGTTCACACAACATCGTAGCTGTGTCACAGAAGAGCTCGGGGGTGCGGCAGTTGTCCCTAATCACGGTTGTCTTGATAGGTTCGCCCGTTAAATCGAGGTCGAGGTACGTCGTATTCTCTATCTGACAAGCTTGACCGAGGGTGATATTTGCGTATCTAGAATATCCGACTGAATGGTGGGAAGACCACGAAAGAAGACACTAGATTACTGCGAACCTGCACTTCCCCTTCAGACACAAGCTGCCGTTAAAATTCAAACCGCTCGCCAGATAGGACCAATTTGGCGGGGGTGCGCATTGCTCGTCTCTGTCTAGTTGACATGATTGACCGATAGCCACGAGTGCCTTACACCCACTTCCTTCGTCCGGGCAGAAGGTTCCTCGGGGACAAAGAGGCGGGACTATTTCGCCTTGAGTGTACCCGCTAAATTAGCGATACAGACATATTCATCACCAATACGTAAGAGCGATAGTTTTAAAACTCACAAGGGGTATTCGTCGCGTGCACATTGCTTTGATACGCATGTCCCATTCACAGGTGCTGAGCAAAATGCCTTGTCCATGCATTCGGTCAAAAGTCTGTGAGTAGCAGGATCCTGATGATCGTTGTCGGAAGAGCATCTGCCATCTTGAGGAACTGTACCAGCGTACGCGCAAGACAACAACAGAACAAGCAGAATAATAGACCTGTAAGGTAGAGGAACCATTTCAGGCCAATCTGATTCAACACACGCTCTTAGCGATTTGCAAGCGACGAGAGGATGAAGTGACGGTGAGGGTTAGCCATCATTGGGATTTAGCCGACTTCTGAAATTCTCCGATATTTGGATTGAGACCGTATATCCAGTTTGGAATGTAGACCGTCCGTATATCAAGAGGCGAATCGTTGATATACGTTTGGAATGGTAGTATACGGGTTTCAGACAATAAATTGGCCGTGCAATCGTATATAGATAGCGTCATGCGCCGGGCAAATTGTGGACATGTAGGATTCGCCAAGGCCAACCTAAAGATTTGCAGGTGGACGAATTCAGAAGGGCAAAGATCGAAGACGTCTTCCCTCACGCTCTATTAATAAGACTCTCTTTCAGAATCTGCGGACCCGAATGAGTGACAGGGATAGGACAGAGTGTGAAAGACCAAAATAAAAGGGCAGGTAGTATAATAGCGTCACGGTCTTCCCTTTTGAGTGACCGTCACGGACTCCGAGTCACGGTTGAACGTTGAACGTTGACCCCGTTTGCTCATGTTGTATGCAATCCCGACTCACATGATTCTGATCTTGGACGCAACGAGTACTTCTAGGCAGACCACCTTTTATTCTGTCATGTGGCTATAAACTACGCCCACGATTATTGATGATACTATCCTGCACAGTGGCCTGTCAGTGGGTTCCGTCATGGAAACGAGCGAAAGACAAAATAGATCCTCCGGCCTATGTGCAAGGACGACTACAGCCTGATTGTGAGTACAGTAGCTATGTGGTTGTGTTGCCTCACACCGAAAGGCCCGACAACTGTCCTGCAGAAAGACTACTAGTGCAAATTGACAGTGTACGAGTCGTACTGAAGCGGGCCCCTTCTGACGGCGACGAAGTCCGAGTTGCTTTGTATTTGTCCTTGGTTGAAATGCGCTCTGACCCTTGAAACTGCCCGGTTCTCGATATCGTTGCCCTGCCAGACACATTCTGACACCGGGAGGATTAATCCTCGCGCGAACAAGTATCTGGATCGGATATGTTTTGTTTTATCCCTACTCTCAAACTCTCGCTCCTGTACTCGCTCCTGTACGGCATTAGCAGCACTAGTGCCCAGCATCCCTGAAGCTGACTTCCATCACGGTGTTATATATATGCAGACTCGGACTAGACAAAAACCGATCCCTTTCGCCATCAATATGCCAGCCAGTTGCAGGCATGTCAAACCCTTCATAGCTTATCCCGAAAACCACTCTCAATCCGAATGACCAGGACTACTTAGTTTAGCGTGTGTTGCCGGTGTTCTGACTACTCTTTTCGATTTCGATCTGGTCTGTGTCGGCCTCATTGAGATTCTGGCTTCATATATCCGCTCCTCTGCCAATAAGTTCACATACACTATCTGCGATTTGTCACTGTCAACTAAAACTATGTCTA